TGCAGCCAGGTATTGTTCATATTTGTGACAAGCCGTCTTAATAGGGATGATATATACACTACTTATATCGATAAGGAATTTCTTTTTTTTCCGAGAGCTCATTCGGAAAGAACTTCAAAGTTAAGCATGCTTAGCTTTAAGCAATTTCAGGACGGGTGACCGACTGGAAAGTTGATCTCAGATGCGCACAACTGAGGAGAAAGTGTGTATGAAAGACTAGTGTTGATCTGTGGGGCTAGTCTACATCCCACCAGGAGTTACGGCCAGTAACCGACGGCTGTGTCCGGGGCGTTACAATACCCCTCCCCCGTTCGACGTTGTCCATGCCGGACGTCATGCCTAACAAGTGTCCGACAAATGTCATTGAGCTTTTTACGTTCTCATTGTTTCTTTGGAGCAAGCACAATGATGAGGGATTCGGTGACGGAAGACGCACTACTAGGGAAAACCTTATACACAGAATCTTAGCAACAACGCGAGTCAGGAAGAGGCGCTACTGCTAATTAGCAGTAGCGCGGGCCTCAAACAGGCGTCCGCGCTACTGCTACCAACTTAGCAGTAGCGCGGCTCGGTAGAACCACGCTGCTATTAAAATTGCCTGTGACGATCAAATCTGCACATGGCGCCCCGTAAAAAGTCAGAGGAGATAGAGACGGAGACAGAGGCGCGGGAGAAGAAGGGCAAAAAAGTAAAGGAAGATGATTATTGTCCCCCTTCTTGCTTCGCCTTAAGTCCGGATGAGATCGATCAATTCTTCAAGTGCCTTACCGGAATCAAAGTTAGTTCCGGAATCAATTCTTCAAGTGCCTTACCGGAATCAAAGTTAGTTCCGGTTACTGTGGCAAGATAAGCAGATATCTAGACACGAAGAAGAAAAGGTTTAGCGGGATGAAGTCCCATGACTGTCATGTGATGATGACGCATATACTACCTGTTGCCCTTAGAGGGATAATGGACAAGCACGTCCATGACACGCTTATTGGTCTCTGCAACTTTTTCGACGTCATCTCTAGAAAGTCGATCAGTGTGAAGCAGCTCCGAAGGCTACAGAAAGAGATCGTTGTGATACTAAATGAGCTTGAGATGTACTTCCCGCCCGCGTTCTTTGATGTCATGGTGCATCTGTGTGTTCATATTGTGGACGACATAATAGACCTGGGGCCGTCATTCCTGCACAACATGATGACGTTCGAGAGGATGAATGGGATCATCAAAGGATTCATTCGTAACATGTCCCGTCTGGATGGAAGCATCGTCCAGGGCTATCTTACACAAGAGTGCATCTCTTTCTGCGAGAATTTTCTCTATGGCGCAGACCGGCCGCTTGGTGTTGGATTGCCCGTTAACAAGCATGTTGGGAGGCTCGAAGGAGAAGGTCACTTCAAAGATCACAGGGAACTGCATGTGGCCTACTCAGATCGATGCAACGACTTTGACAGAGCAAACTTGATAGTACTACAACACCTACACCAGGTAGATCCTTTCGCGACACTGCACAAAGAAATATCGCAAAGAAGTATCGTGACCGAGGGGTATGCATGACGGACACCAAAGTTACTAGAGAGCACAACTCCACTTTCCTGCATTGGTTCAAAGAGCATATTATTGCTAATCCCCCGGAAGAGGGCTCTAAGGACAGATTGCTCATATATGCCTTAACACATGGCCCCTCGCCCAACCTCATCACCTATTAGGCATACGATATCAACGGATACACGTTCTACACGGAGGCCAAAGATATGGACAATGATGATCAAAACTTAGGGGTGACGATGGAATGCATGACCGGCAGCGACAACGACGCAACTGAGAGATTTTACGGAAGGGTCGAGGAGATCTGGGAGCTTGACTACTTTGGACTGCACAATGCAACGATGTTCCGTGTGAGATGGGCTAAGAATGTCGAAAGAAAAAACCGGTATTTCACTACCATGACTATACCCGACGCCAAGAGCGCTACCGTAAATGCTATTGCAAAAACGAGCCATGGGTACACGCTAAGCACGTGATACAATGCTTCTTCATAACCGACCCGTGCAATCCCAGCCGTGTTGTTGTGAGGAGAGGCAAAAGGAACACCATTGGAATGGATGGAGTCGCCAACGAGGAAGACTACGACCAGTACGACAACCCAATGAGAGAAGATGACGATGACGATGAAGTATACGCCAAAAGAAGAATCAATACTACATTACCTAAGAAATATCGTACTCCATGGAAAAGGAAAAGTCACAATGAGGGGCTCAATTATTCTTCAACGAACAAGAAGGGAAAGAAGCTCACTCAGAAACAAAAACGTCGACGCTGAGAAACTGCTAACGGTCAAATGGTGTAATATATATGTTCCTATTTTGTATACATACTTAACCGTCAAATGATGCAATATATATCTCCTAAGTTATATACATTGTATCACCTTCCTATTTTGTATACATACTTAACCGTCAAAAGAAAACGAAGAAAAGAAAAGGAAGAGAAAATAAAGGAAAAGAAAATCGAAGAAACAAACAGGAAACTGCTATAGGTACTAGTTATAGCAGTAGCGCTTTTCTAAAAAAGAGCTATAGCTAGTCAACATAGCAGTAGCTCCCTTCGGAAAAACACGCTATAGGTACTGGTTATAGCATTAGCGCTTCTTGTCGAAACGCGCTATAGCTAAATTAGCTATAACACATTTTTCAGAAATATGCTACTGCTATGTTGACTTAACCCCCCAGCGGGCTTCCCACCCTGCTTCTTCCCCCAAATCCCCACTCTCTCTTCTCCCCTTCGTCTCCGCCGGAGCCCGTGCCCTCGCCCCCGACCCCATGACCCCGCCAACCTCGCCCTTGCCCCCGACCCCGGCGCGCCACGCCTCCCTCCTCTGCTTCCTACCCACCCATCATCGGCTGTCGTCAGGCCTGCCTCCTCGCCCCTGCACCCTCTGTAAGCCCCCACCGCTCCTCCTCTCTCTGCTAGTTAGGGTTCTTCGGTTAATTTACTTAGGTTTTAGTTAGGGCAGTAGATTAATTAGGTTATCTATTTAGTTATGAATTTAGCTAGGTATCAAACTAGTAGGTTAATTTGGCTATATTATGAACCCTAGGTGCAATTTGAACCCTAGTTAGTATGAACCTTAGTTAGGATTAACCCTAGTTAGTATGAACCCTAGGTTTCAAACTAGGACAGAAATTTAGGGTTAGGTGTTTTAGGTGTAG